ATTTTCAATGTACTTGGATAAGCTCTTCAGTTGTGGTTGAGTCGGGAATATGCTCGGAATACGCTTTTACAGACCATATTCCGTTATTGTTTCATGATACTCAGCCAAGAGATGCATTACGAGCCACAATTAACGATACATCCGAGCAAGTTGAATGTTGAATGAGATCTAACTCTTCACTGTTCAATATCATGCAAATTTAAATGTTAGGAAGTAAATTAGAATCTGTGGGCAAATTGAGAATTTTGGGTGTCGTTATTGAGAGGCAACTCGATTATTCAACATTTATTCAAGAGTTTCTTATACTCTTCAACGACCCCGCTGTCTCAATACGTACTTCCTCTATCATGTAAAGTGTAAATTAGCTGGTGGTTTGATGACGTCTCATATGTCTTATCGTATGAAAGTATATTTGTGTACGATGGCCGGTAATATTCGTGGAGTTAAACTCTGATGAATAAAATTGTTAGATTTGTGTATGGCATAAAGTATCACAATTCTGATCGTGCTCAATATGGGAATCGACATTATAATCACAAATCGCCGCATGTCAATAACTTTTTCATTGCTCTTTTAACAATTTCCCTACTTTAAGATATCTTCTAAGCTTCTACAAAATAGTCAAGAGTGGCACGCGGCAGTTTTTAGCACAACGATTTAACTTTTTACATCTTTCAAGGAGTGCGCAAATATTTCTTCTCTTAATAAGAAGTTCAGTTTTTGAGAAATCATTTTCGTATCATTTCGTATTGTTCATCTGTGTACCAAAAAAAACTCATTACAAATTACAATAGAAATTTCATCTAGTCCTGTGTATGATTATCTAGTTTTTAGCTATAGCTAATCCTAACAGGTCAATTACATTTAAATGAAGAATCGATATAAAAACACGTTCCATTCGTACGGTATTTGTGTCTCGTTCGCGGGATACGCGTTTTGAACCTTGCAAATAATCATCTGCAACATTTCTTCTACTTTCTTTTTAATATTTTACTATAGGTCGAATAGTAGCATCGTTTATATCTCTTGATTTTGTAATCGATTAAAGCTTTATAACTCAATTTTTTACGATGCAGAGATACGTTTTCCATATACGTTGCAACTTAATTTTTTACATAATATATATACATCTTTTTACTTTTCACTATTTACTGTCCGAAACTCGAACTGCATTTACAAAGCACAATACGCATTTGTCGCTTCTCAAAAAGGGGAACACAACCAAACCGATTTTTCTGCAACAATAAAGCTGGGACCCTTTATTGCGCGATTGAAAGAACATACAGCGGAATATGTATATTTGTTTTGAGGTCGTATTATACAATATTAAAAGTATCTTGTAACGTAAAAGCAAATTTTGTATTGTGTAATGTTAAAACGGTGTTTTGTAAGTACCATGTCATACAAATGCGGCCTGTATATCACCAAAACTAAAACTAATAATAATCAGATAATTTAAATAAGGTAATATATACTTGTTCTTAGGCTGCTAGACAACTGAGACAACTAGATGATAACATTGTTCAGCGGTTCGTTGAAAATTGAAGCCAGGAGATTACTACGGTCTTGTTGTACGTCTGTTATCAATAACAGCAGCAACGGCGTTATTTGCACAGGCGAAAATTCTATTAATAGTTTCTTGACATGACGTTGTGTTCTCTCAAACCGTTGCGAAGCAGAAGCAAATACAATTCCGTGTCTTTAAGTGAATATACGTGTTTATGTACCAAGTAAATCAAACGTATAACAGCAACACGAAAAGTTGTCATAATTTCCTAGTTTGAGTTTTGAAATGAAGGTAGGACCATTTAGCTGTTTCTGCTACTTAATTCTTGCTTCTTAATTGATATATTTGGGATTGATTTCAACAGTACTCGACAACTACACAATTTGCAGTTCTTCGGAACTTATCAGTCATATTTCATAACGAGAATAGTCGGGATACTGAGAACTCATGGAGTGAAATATCTCCCAATTAATTGAAAATTTGAACTCTTCTATGAAAACATTATAATAGTTACTATTCCATTAATGCTCAATAATAAAATAATATAAAAGAAAACGAAATCTTTTAAAATTCCAATACAAAGTCGTTTTCACAACTCTTCTGTCATATCAATTTTTTGAAGGATATTAATGCTACATGCTATGCAATGCTTGTATTGCCTTAAAAATAATTATTTCGAATTTAATATCGTTAATTAAATGTTCTTTATATATAGTGAAAGCTGCTCCATTATACAGTATGGAATAAATTTAGTACCACTCTGATACAGGCAGAAATTATTCTTATTATGCCAGTGTATAAATAAATGCAGTTTAATGAAATATTTAAATTAAATAAACGTAACAGTACATTCTTGTAAAAAACCACTATGAGGGTGAGATTGTACACATAACCTCTTTTTTAATTGCTTTGGTTAATAAAGCACCTTTATTACTACTAATAGCACGATGGCCTGCTATAAAATCTATGAACGTGCAGGTGGTTCAACCTAATCTAAAAGAACGAGATAAAAAACTTGGACGACCAATTATAAGTTTTTCGAAACTATATATAAACTCCCTTTCGCTTTGATCTGCTAGCTGTTATGAGTGCGACTAATATCGTGCTATGATCCGAAGCGATTCTTACTGCACGCTTGTGTAATGGCGTAAATGGTTCGTATGTACAGCTCGACGCATAGCACTAGTTTAGAATTGTCGATGGATTGTGTTTGAATGTAGATCTCTACTAAATCGAAAGTAACTATTAATTAAATAAAACCATTATCTAATAATAATAACACGTTATTCTGCATTGGTACCGAATGATAAATGCCGCTACAACTCCATATCTTGACAGATGGAGTAGATGCGCTGACAGGGCGCTGATAAGGCAAATAGCGTTAGCTTCTATCATGATCCGACCGAACATATAGAGGAGGAAAAGAATCGAACCATTTTGATTGAAAACTAAACTACATACCATACAAACCATTTCTTAAATGCAAATTTAAAAAAAAGGGAAAACCATTATCTAACCTAATAACGCACAAACAGTTGCTGTAAACATTACAATGTCATAAGTCAAGCGTGAGAGACAACTACGAATACCTAGGACGCAAAACTACCAATTACGTTAACGTGATCTCTTTATTCAACTAATTCCCGGTACGTTTTGTTCACAGTTTATTGATTATCACCTACCTTTCAAAAAATTATTAAAATATTGTTGATAATTGTTAACGAAAATTATATATGTTTTGCGTTAAAAGAAATAAATGAAACAAATAATAAAAAATATTTAAGAGTTAGAAAAAGAAAAATTGGAAAAAAACAGAAACGGCTAAGCTCAAAAACTCGAAAAATTAAGTTTCTCTCTCTCTCTCTCTAATTGATTAAGATAATTCATTATTACGTAAATATGAAGTATTATTAAATAGTAATAATAATTTGTTATTTATATCAGTTCTTAATAGCTATTCATACGAAATACATATAAAACAAAAATATTGTTAACATTTATTCATAAAACTTAATGAAAATAAACGTATTTAATGCGAAACCCCTTGCAACCTTGCATTATTTTTTTGCGAGTTAGCGCAGAGTGTTATGTACAGAATCGCGCATCGGACAATCTTCGAATCTGAAGCGTTCTTGATCAGCGTGCCTAGTAAATTCTGTTTAAATTATATCCATCTGCTCCTTAGTCTATTGAAAATGTGAATGCGCGACAAAAAGTCGTATTTGATCAAAATAATTACCTTTACCCGCATTACGTCGCTTTTCGAATACTTTATGCTACCGAATAGCTTGTAATAGCCACTATCGAATAGCCGTATCGAAATTAGTTATCAAACTACAAATACGTGGCGCCAATTTTGTGTATTCAGTAACGCAAACAACAAAATCCATTCATTCATGTATTCATTCATACATGTATGTTTATCTAGAAATTTTCTCTTTCTATTGTTATCGAATTGAATGCAAAAATTAAATAATGAAGAGCCTTGGGTTTGAGAAAGGTTTTCATTACGTTATCACTGAAGTTCGGCGAATATTTTATCTTAGCTACCGAAATTTTTTGATATTTTCGGCCTTATTGCAGTATGAATTGCAGTTAACTCGTCTAGCCTCGTTTTCGATAAGTTGCTTTTCTTGCAGGCTGTATTTCATATTGTACCATCTTGTTGACACGGTTCCCGCGCATGTCAAATGAGGATATTAATCAAAAAGCCTCAATCGACTGCTAGCACTCTTGTTTCATGTTACAAAATGAAAAGCTCTTAACAAGTTGAAGCGTCAAGAAACAAGCATTACTACTTAACCTCAAACGAGTACAATATATCTTTTAGGTCACGGTACAGATTGCCCGCACAGTTAATAACCGCGAAGCTGAATAAAAATAGTATCGCCTTACGAAAAGACCGCATATGCTCTTTAGATATACTTAGTATTGTACTACGCTAAAGAGTAGATCTCTTATATGTGCACTGTTAGCTTACAAATGGCAGTAAGGGATGCTGTCATATATCTTATATTGCAATTATACCTCGGTTGAAAAATTTTATTTGTTCATGAAACAAACATATATGCAAGTAAGTGATACCTAGCAGAGAAGTCTACGTAAATCAAATAGAATTCCTTTCTTGGTCTTCTCATATTGAAAATATCAAAATACTTGTATAGACGATTGGTAAACTATTTTTAGATATTTTATAAGTTAACCAATAAGCATCAAGCAAAAATCCACTTAAAATTATCACAATGTAGACATTGCGTCGCCTGGGAGTAACACAATCCAAATGCTGAATTACAAAAACACAAATTTCAAAAGATCAAATACCGCATTCTCCACTTGAAGACAAATATTTTGGTTTTGAAAATTTTCCTTGAAAAACATCTACTAATGAACACCAAAGGGGCAGTTTGAAATTTTTGTTAAAACGTAACGTACACAATTCGAAATTCTTAGTAAAACTCCAAAAGCTAATTTTTTTATGGGCAAATTAATTAAAATGCTATTCAGTCGTATTGAAAAATTTGAAGCATCTGCACACAATTCACTGATTGGGTCGAAGCAAGTTTTAGTCCGCAATTTACGTACTCCAAAATGTGCCAGATGTCGTAATCATGGAGTTATATCCAGTGTAAAAGGTCATAAAAAATTATGCCATTGGCGTGAATGCACCTGTGCGAATTGTCAACTAGTCGTGGATCGTCAAAGAGTAATGGCTGCTCAAGTTGCATTAAGACGCCAGCAATGTATTAAGGACACTAATGAAGCGTTTAGTGACGATTGCAATCCCGTGTCTTCAATTTCACCAATGAAAGCTTTACAGCGCATTCAACAAGATTTAAATGCACAAAAGAATGTCTATAAACAACGTTTAAGGCGTTTGCAGCAATCGGCTTTATATGCAGCAGCTGTCATGAAAAGTGAGTAAATAATAAGAAATAAAATTGTATTTCACTTGCCACGAAAGCTTTGATTTAGCCCTTGATCGCTAAAAGAAACAGTACAGTTCTTGTGACTGTAATGCAAGCTTAACATCATCCCTTCTTTTTCATAAAAGTTGTAATCGAAAAGCAGCATTTCTCTTATATATCGTACATTGGTATTAAAAAATTTATACATAAACTCATTTACCATTCATGCGTTTAACAAAATTCTTTTTGCATATCTCGATTTCTTTTAATAATCAAACCTCTTTAGTTGTAATTTATATAATGGTGGTTTTTTAAATCGAAAATTATTTCCGAGTTATTCGCATAACTTCACTTTTCAAGTAACCGCAAAGAATGTTGTCAAAAGGTACCAAAAGGATTGATCGCGATGGGCAATTAATCTTTGAATAATTTACAATCAAGATAGGGTCTTTCTATCTTGATCCGCCTTGCAGAAGCCAAAGGTGGCATACATTGAATTTGTCCAATTTCCCCAAAACTGATTAACTGATTATCGTATTCCAATGATGTTCACCATTTTCTGTGTTGATAATAATTATTAAACCATAAGGCCATTAAGTTCGGCAAAGGATGACCTTAAGAAATTTAAGAGATTATTTATCAATAATATGAGGATTGATCGTCCTGTAGAAGCAATAACTTTTTTCCTAATAATGCTAAACGCCTTTTGCAGTAAATCGGATCCCTGACTATAAATGACCTTAATTCTTTACATAATATAATACAATCGACATAATGTAAAACATTTGACGTTAATGCTCACACGCAATTATTATATATAACGGGTTTTATTGAAAAATAATAGGAAAGCATTGCATATGCAAGGAAAGTTAATATGTTTAAGAGTAAACAAAAAGAAAGCAACACGCATAAGACAAATTACTGCAAGAATAAATTTAATACCGAAAGGGAAAAATTATTACACAAAGAGCCCATTTTCAATTCAGGAATTAGACGCACCCACTTACGTGCTTTCTTTAATTTAATTTGACGAGAATAAAAAGAAACAGTTTAAGACCAAGATCATAAGATTCGCAAATCGTAATCATCAACGAAATAAATTTGGGCCTTTCATACTAATCGAAAATTTACAAGCAAGTGTACAGGGATTGCTTTAGTTAATTACGTTAATTAACGTTGAGCACATCGTTATAAATAAGATCACATTTGTTGCCCGCAAAAAAAGGGGCCGGATACATGGTTGGTTGCAAAAGTTATTCATTACTCCTGTATATTTCTTCGCGTTTAACAACCTTTATTACGTTCAATAAATAATACATCGGATAAAGTATTTTCGCTTAAGAATTTCTTAAATGCACTTCTGCTTGCTATGGTTCAGACGCTATTCCATACATAATAAAATCAAACAATATTGAAAACGTATTTGATTTTCTAATCACTTTAAAGGATTTTACATTTAAACTGCGCTCAACTACTACTATTATTATTGTATGCATACATATTTTCTTCCAAGTATTTTGCTTAGTTTTCCTAAAAACTCTGCCCACGGCTGAGACTAACGCGCATTATTTATTAAAGTACATAGAAAGAGACATAATGCTTTTAATGTAACTTTATCCCTTCTCCCTATAAAATTGCTGCCAATATAATGCATCTGACACTTGCGACATCTCTATTGGTATAAAAAGAATATCGTCATATTCTACACTATCTAGCGAATAACGTATAATTTAAAGGGCGTTTGTAACAGCAAACTATTGTTTTTAAAGCGATCGTTATAAACTGATTTTTCAAATAATCGTATCGACATCCGCCATGGTTGTTTATTAGTCTGGATATATATACGTGGGCAATAAAAACTCGTACAATGATTACGAATAAATAGTTTAAAATAAGGACTTGACCATCGACTTGGACCGTTTTCTTAACTTTTTTAATTTTTTTGCCAAAGAGATATGTCATATACCATGACATGCTAAGGTATACCAACCAAGTGAAACGAAGTTTATATATGAAACTTGTTGTAAGGTAATTTTATTTTCCCGTTTTTTCCAACTTATTTTTTTATGAAATTCTCGTTTATAACCAACCTAGCAGATTGCAATAAAAGGAGAAAGGTATCAGTTAAAAATTCTTAATTATGAATGAAAAATTTTTCTTTCAAACTCCACTCGTGCGTTAATGATGAATATTTTTAATTCAATTTATAGAATGGTGTCTAACGTGAATAGAATGGTTTATAATTTTAGTTGTTCTTTTTTTCAATTTATCACAACCTACCATTTAATCATCGCGAGTAACTGTGAACATGTGTTCAAGTTTTTCTTAAAGGAAATTCACACCAAACCTATAAGCGTCAGCGGCAATTCGTGGTTATTACAATAGTTTCGACGCATCCATTACATGCATTACAGAAATTAAACACTTCTGAGCATAGCTCGTGACGAGACAAACACTTGGACTTGGATTGCGTGCAATATAGAATCCAAGAATGAAACGTAATTACCCTCAGGGTATTGAACGATAAAGTCGACTTCTGGTTGAATTATTTTGTCAGCAGATATAGATAAAAGCTTAGAACAAATTTGAAGCAATATATGTGGGTGTCAAGGAGTGTCAGCAAAACTTGATAAAAACAAGAAAACATCATGCATGTAATAAGTAAGTAAATTAAATTCATGTAGGGCTTTAAACGGTCTAACTTTCAACGGTTTTTGTAATCCGATCTTTAAAATGCATGAAATTAGTGAAGGATTTCTATTTCATGTCTTTTCTTTCCTTTTTTTTTTTTTTTTTTTTTTTTTTTTTTTGTACAACAATAACGCAAGAATTTACAAATTTGAAAATATTAATAAGCGATTATTTGTTTTTTTTATTCTAAAGGCGTGAATTGAATTCTTGCAACTGAAAAAGAGGCCTGCACTTAAACAAATAAAAATGTCAGCATGTAATGTCTGAAAGAAAAACCAATACTTCAAATGAACTATCTTTACCACATCTGTTTATTCTTATTATAAGAACACAAAAGAGGATATGAGTCTAAATTACAAAAAAAAAAAAAAAAAAAAAAAAAAAAAAAAATGCCAAGCAGTCTGGTTTGGTGTTCAATATGGATCAAATGTTACTTTTTGTAGATAAACATACACGTTTACCATTCACACATAAATAAACTCAATAATCGAATTTGATTTTCTAAACATTGAAGTGATAAAAATATTGACGTGTTTTTTAATTTTATATTTCGTAGAAAACCAAGAGCATTTCCCGAGCTGGACTACACCAATAGTGGAGCGAATACGTAAAAGACGAGCATTCGCTGACCCAGAGCTAAATCAGGTCAGCGATGCAACTTTGCTTAATGCAGCTGCTATTGCCGATTATATCAGTAACTCAATTACGTCTGCCAATGTTTTAATGAACTCACAAACTTATATGATGCCAAGCCAAATAGCACATACGTGCTATATGTCCTCCACAAAACCAAAAAATATTACGTTGAGGAACGCGAACTTACTTCCAGTGCAAGTGGAAGCAAATGATGCACAACCCCCAACCCAAGATCAAATAAAAACAATCGCTAAAAAACCGAAATTGAGTTTCTCTATCGAGGCGATTATTGGAAACTGTTAAGAAGCGATGTATTTTTTAATTCAAATCTTTAGAATGTGATATATATCAAGTAGAAATATTTTAATATTAAATCTCAAGTAAAAATCTTAAATAAGGATTCGCACGTTTGTACACACACAATGCAATGAAAATAGACAAGTTATTCAAACTTAATATTATTGAATCCGCCTGAGTAGCCGAAGGGGAGGAATCTCGACTAGCAAGTCAAAGGTCGTGGGTTCGAATCTCAAGTGCGGTAGAGTTTTTAATAAAAAGCCGATAGCCTTAGATGCTAGTGCTTTTAAGAGTTTAGTCTTAGAATTTATTTCTCTGGCGAAATTAATAATAATAATAATAATAATAATAATATTATTGAAGCAAGACTGTTAATTATAATTACGTTAAACTATTCGAGGTTATCAACAATTATTAAAATTTTGTTTGGCTTTTATTTCAATATGTAAAACAGTGCCATCTATTTGTGAGGTTCTGTTGCGAACTTTCCATATGTTATATATGAGCTTAAATAGCTGTCAAGATAATAGTTGGTAAATTAAAAGTATAAATAAAGAACTTCACTTCTAGCTTAGCTGTAAAGCAAACAATTATGCGGACTTTAACAGAATACCACTGCTGCTATTTACAGAGCGAACGTAATACTCTATGCTACTTTACAGAAAGAACGAAATACTTTTGCTACTTTACAGAAAGAACTTGCTACTTTACAGAAGGAACATAATACTCTATGCTAATTTGCCCCCTAGCGTATGCTAAAAGTCCCCAAATTTTAAAACCTGTTTATTATTAGTTCATCTTTCTACCGCGCGGTGCACCGTAGTAGTATCAAAAATAACAATTTGATATAAAAATATGTTATTTAGCAACTCTATCAAGCAGCTGCTTTTCTTTTTGTAGACAGATCTCACAACACTGTTAAACTCCACTTAGTAAACACATCAAAAAAAAAAACAACAAATGCATACAAAATAAGTTGTCAGAAATTTTTTCTTTTTTAAACATTAAATAATAAAGGAAACCCAAATGTCTGCTCAGGATCAGAGAACTGAAATCATAATAAAATGTATACCCCAACTCGTTAAAGAATTGACCGGCTTTGATGTAAGTTTGAAAAGACTCGGTTGCAACCAACAACTAACATATTGGCCAATGTAGGATGAAGACGAAAATCTATATCATTGCGAGCAGTTTGCATGGAATATTATCAGATGTCATCGCAATTTAAGTACCAATGGGCATGATGTACGTCGTCGTATTGAAGGATTACAAGAACGTTTCCGTGTGGACAACTATGCTAAATATGCTGATTATTTGGGACGACTTTGCGATGAAATCACATGTCACCCGCTATGCATAGACCATTATGAAATAGATGTTCATTGGTCGTTATTAGACTTTCTTATAACGTTAGCCTATAATCCAACGGTTGCCTTACGACGTAATAAACATAAAATAGATCTCAACTTACCACAACCATATGAAGACACCGGAAAAGCAAGCAATGAATTAATTTATTGGAAAAATATTTTAAAAGAAAATTTTATAACTACCACATCCTATGAAGATAGTAATTCGGAATTGAGCGTAAGTAGAAAAATAAGAGATTAAAGCAAATGAAATAAGTTCAACATGCACTATTTTATCAGGAATGGTCAGATGAAGATGGAAACACGGATAAACGTGAACAAACTGCGGCTTTAGAAGTAAAAGCCAGTGATCACCAAGGTGATAATAGTGTGATTGGTGATAGAATGTTGGGCAACGTTAAACCGCCACAAAAATCAAATCCTTTTATTGAATTTGACGATAACAATGCCAGAACGCAACTGTGGGACACGGTACAGCATTCATGGTGGCTTGCTGGTCGTAATAGTCAGTGTCAAGCCATGTTGGAAAGCAGACATATAGAAGCAAATTTTGCCCAATATTATAATCGATTTCTGAATGAAACCTCTAACAACTTAATACGGTTTCAAACGCCCTCCACAATAACCGAACAACATCTGATGCGGGAATTGTTGTGGATGTTTCACAAGCCTAGCAAGTGTAGTATTTTTGGTTTAGACGAACAACATAATGTAATAAGGCGTCAAAGTTTTACAATACCTAGTGTGACTGGAGAAGGTTTGTCCAAATATTTGGAGAGTCAATTTGTACCCTATATTCGTATGATGGAAACCCTAAGTATTTTTCATAAATCTATTTATGATGGCAGCAATAGATCACCACCTCGCACTGTGGAATGTTATGCAGCCAACTTGCATTTACACTTGAAACCCATATGGGCACAGTTACTGAATTACGAACGACGCTTACTCCAACAACAAGATCTCGAAATTAATACAATTATTAATATGCGGGCGTATTTGAATGACGCTTTTATTCGATTACAGTGCTTATACGATATACACCAACAGGTGATACTCAGCTGGGAACAATATCCACCACATATATGCAGTGCATTGTTACTTGCCGGCTTAACTAAATGTTTTCAAATGGAGAATAACGCAACCAACGCCAACTTGGCAATGTCGTTGCTGTTGGCCTCAATTAAGGTATTCTGTGAAATCATAGATACTTGGTGGTCGGAAGGACGGTTAGATGATTGGCAACAAGAATACATCGTAGAAAGGTAACAATCTCTGCTTATTTAGACTCAGTTTTACTCTTTTTATTCGTATTTAGAATAAGCGACGTGGATCAGTCGGTATGCATGCGTAAATACCGTAAGAATAAACCTAAATTATTTTTTGTGCCATCACAAGTTACAAAAAGTATACTTGAAAATAGCCTATTCTTATTAATGCAAGAACATTCTTTGGAAGCGGGACGTACACTTAATTTGCTTTACGAAATTAATCGCATTGGAAATTTGCGCAATGCTTGCGACGCTGTTGAAGGAAAGTTATATAATACATTTATAAAGGATTTCTTGCAACAGGTCCAAACTATGCAAAATGAAATTAAAATTCAATCGCGGCCATCATCACCAAAACATACCGATGATGAAAGTGAATGTTACAATGATCCCTTCGTCAGCACTTCAGATATTAAAATGAAAAAGAACAGCGTTTTAAGTAATTTAACAACAAATGATGAATTTTTGCTTATGTCGTTTGCTTTAAATAGCAATGAAACAGAAGCATCGAGAGTAATGCCAAATAAAACACCGAATGCTTTGGATATATTTAAACAATTACAAAGATCTTTGTGCAGTTTGCCATTAGAAGAATTACTAATTAAAACTTTAACTCAGATACTAAACCGCCGGATTGAACTTGCAAATTTGTTTGTTATGAAGTTGTATCGAGATGAGTTTATGATCTTAACGCATTTGCAAAACTTACGTAAGGTTTTGCTATTGGAGGCCAGCGATGTTATGTATCAATTTTATAGCAGGCTGTTCAAGCAGGTCAGCACGCCGTTGTAACATTCCTTTACATTTTTTAAGTAACTTTATAACATAGATTGAATCAGGTGTTCCTTGGGCTAATCCATCTCTGTTAACCATGCAATTGGATGATATTGTAAGCACTAGATTTCCAGAAATGTCTTCATTATTTCGTGTAGAGCTCATTTCCATGTTTAACCATCAGACCACTAAGGTCAGTTTTTATTTTCCTTCAAGTTGAAACAGCAAAATTGGATTACTTTGTTTGAATGTTCATTCATAGGTTTCCGAAGCTGTTGATGAACTTATGGTTACGTACAATTTCAGCCGTGAATTGAAGCTTATTATTAACAGCGAAGATATTGAGGCCTATAATAAGGTTTTTCGATTCCTTCTTAAGGTCAAATGGGGCATTACAATATTGGAGAGGCTTTCATTCCCACGTAGTCGGAAACGTCCCATTCCGTACGCGGATTTTAATATGATTGATTTGGTTATGCGTCGTCTAGAACACTTACGTTTCTGGATGATGTATGCCTTGCAGAGTGTACACTTTCATCTAATGACACATGTACTACAATCTATGGGCGATCAATTGGATAAGAAAATCAATCAGTGCCAAAATCTTCAAGACTTGGAAATGGTTCACAAATCATACTTAAGTACTGTTTGTGAACATTGCTTACTGGTCGACAATTTGAATGCCATCAAAGTGGGAGTAGAGCAAGTGAGTGGTAGAGTGAACGCTTTATTATTTTGAAAAATTTATTTAATTATTTGTTCTTTTACAAGCTTCTAAATCTAACTTGCATTTTGAACTTGGAATGGCTGAGCTGCACTCAATGTCTTGAAACCAAAAGCCCATTGTCTATAGATATCCATGATAAATCTCATGATGATAGCAATATTGATGATAATTATGTAGATAACACTCAAATTGACGCCATTGAATTAACCTATATACGGTGTCATCAATATTTAGCGAATAAATTGAATAACGAAGTTTACTTAAAAAGAAAAAGTTTCCGTAAGTATATAAGACACTTTAATTGAATAAATAAATATAAATTTGTGCATTATATTTTTAGTGTCAGGTTTGAGTGCTGCCTTTAATACAAGTTTACCATATTAGCTGGTTCACGATTTTGTCTCAACGTCTTAGAAACCTATTTCAATAATTGAAATCATCTAAAAAATTAATAAAGTTGAAAATACTGTAAAAAAACACGGAAAGCTGTATACACTTCAATATTTCAATTTTTTCCGCCTGTATTGTGATGTTTATGCAACCTGTTATAAATATCAAAATATCGTTTGGGTTTATTTATGTTAAAAACAAAAATATCATCTGAAATTGAACATATCGCAAAACGATCGCAATCTCCTCACTAAGAAGATTTACAAGTTGCTATAAAGAGAACAGGTGCTTTGGCAATGATCAGTTATTCTGTTTTTGATTAGTTTTTATTCACATTTCGCCACTCGGCAGTATATACTGCGGTCATGGCAACGTTCAGTGTGCCACATGTATAGAAATCGTAATTTGAAAAAATATAGAATTCCAGCAATGCTGTTAGTTTAAGGGGACACACCCCCTCGTGTCGTGGAAGGCAAAGAAGTCGGTAAAATAAAATTTAAGAAATATCCTGGTTATGGCTGCATAAAAGTCTTTATCAACTAAGGCTCTCCGCTTCTTAATATTAATTTCCAACAATATGTTAAAATTGCGTAGGGATATACGATAAGTTAGTTTGTTAAATGTTTATTTAATTGTTGTGTTTCAATTTATTGATGATTTCTTACTGCCTACTGATCTTTTGACTATTGCTTATAGGTGAATTTGTATCGTAACGTATCTCTGTCATAACTTCGACCTTGGCTCACTTATTGCATAATGTGCGCTCAATTGATCGCAACGATCAATTATTTTCAGGTCGGATTTATCGGATGCCATTCTTGTCAAGGCATTAAGAGGTTGAAGTTTTTTTTCCTGTCATCAACAATACGTCTGATTGCATATTATTGGATTATTAAGGTTCGCATTTTTTTTTCCCCAATATTGTCGTTGTTTTTATTATAATGTTATAAATATATTATTGTTAACTAGGTGTGATCCTCAATGATCCCCAATATAATATAAAAAAAAAAATCATTTTTATATTCACTTTTGAAGGATAGGGGGGCACACTCATTCTGGCGTTATGTTTGCAACACCCAATATAAAGCACCCTATAAAGCATATATATTCTTGACTGGCATGTAATTCTGAATTGATTAAGTCATGCCTGTCCATATGTGTTGTTACCACTCTTCTGACCGTAAAAATGAATACATCATGCATACATAATTTAAATTTGGTAGAACCATTAGAAATTTTTGCTAGCAGGTTGATATTGCGAATTGTCTGAATTGGTCCCGCAGCGAAGCGTAAACTGAACGCAACTGCGTTTCTCTAAGCAAAAATTTGTAGGTTTTTGCTCATTACTCAAAAATTGTGAAATATCAACACTGAAATCTTTTACATTTGCTTAAAGAAAACTCTATAATATACGTGCAAACCTAGAAAAAATTGACCCTTTAAGACTTTATTCTTAATTTTTCTTAATAATACCATCGATATGGATAACAAATAAAAGGACTTGGAGAGTAGAAGGCGACAAGCTAAGTGTGTTAATGCTAAATTAATTATAGTGCGTGTCGCGACGAGGTGGATTAATTATTCGCAATAGACCGCAAAAAAGACCGCGAGTGAAAGATAAATTTTATCCCATTCACTTTTTTATGAGCATATATAAGCATGGGGCGCTAAAGATTTTAATGACGGTGGGTATGAGAGATTCGAACCTAGCCGAATATAACCTTCTTACTTGTTTAATGATTATGCACTACACTACCTGTGGTGTAAGGGTTTATTAGGTATGTGCGGTTGTAAGCAACACCCAGAAGGACTTGAGATAGACCCACCTCTTTTATACGCATAGATTCAAAATAAATTTCTCAAACGATCTAAGATTGCCTGCCAGTCTGGCTGTCTTTGAGATATTTCAACTGAATTTGACTGACGTGTTTTAGCCCAGGGGGCGAACACTATTGAAACTAGATCAGATCGCACATAATTTCACCCACTTCCAAAATATCGTTCCATTTTGAATTTGGGTGTTTAATATTGGCTCGTGGCGCATTTTAGTGTTTTAAATTGGTTTTAAATTAAAGAAAAACCAAATATTAAGCTCTAACTCGGCACTAAGTTATCTTTAAGCCGAAATAATTTAATGGTTTACTTAATCGTTAATCGTTTAAATACACACATACATAGACACATTTGTACAAATATTAGATATTAAATTAATATATGCAACAGATTGTGACTTATACAACAACAGTTCATTGGGAGCATGATTATCGGCTGACCAAGATCACAGACGTGATAAATATTATGATTAGTGTTTTAGAGTTGTATCTGTCATAAGCTGCGAGTTATAATTTGTGACCCTCTGTGCGAATGATGATGGGTCTATTTTAAAGACGATGGAGAAAGACCGCACGAAAGCGGGCGAAGGAGCGTGATTAAGTCGACTGAGGATCTCATGCCGATCAAAAATGGTTTTATTCTACAGAAACTCCTAGTGCGCATTTCTTCAGGTTAGAAGCAGTAGGATTGGCTGAATACGCCGGCAGTCTTCGGTGGTGGATAGAAAACCTACTTCATCTAGATAACTGTTAACGAGAATGATTTATAAAAGATATAAAACGGGGTAGCTCTTGATAAAAAGATTAATGGTTTTAGCTTTGGTTTGCTTTATCATTTTTAGATTATTACTTTAACCTGAATAATATTGGTATTAGCATCTCAAGTGTAGTTTTTATGAAAGGTTACAATTTTTTTGAAGTTAATATTGCCAATATACTTCAGCCACCAAATGTCGTGATGACGACTATGGTGGTCTAAGTAAACTAATTAAGGAAAGTGACAATTTCACACGTATTTCCTACAATTCTCCTGTTGACATTATTATCATCAAAATCATGAATCTTAAATCGAATGTTTTCAGAGCATCATGCTACTTTCTACACAGCGTTGATGTGCAAACTATTAGAGATTATGTGACTTTCTTGACGGTGAACAAAACCCGATCCTAGTTGGAGATTTCACTGCTAGACATGGTTTGTATGGCGATCAGCTCTCAACCACCAAAGGCGAGATCCTTACAAATTTTACGGGTTAGTACTACCTTTGACAGTAATCGGAGTAGTCGCGCGACGAGTAGATATTTGGATCTGACTTCTCTCAATTTAACTATTTTGTCATTCAACTGGAATACTACTAATGCCTCAATTGTCAAAAGTCAACACTTTCCCATCTTATTTCAGAGTTGCAGCAATTCCGTACAAAATATAGAAAACTCGATATCACGCAAATTTCTAATAGCTCGTCTGTCTAATGTAGGCCTTCCATCTGACATATCATCAAATCAAAGTATTTTTCAATTCGAGATCAAGTCTGCTAGAACCAATCTTTCTGTCTTTCTTACTTAAACCTAAACCTTGGTGGAACTCCTCCCTGCCAACAATCTTTCACAAATGTCAAGCGGAAAGGAAAAAACTTACTAAATACGGCAATCAAGCTGACTGCATTGAGTATATGAAAGCACTGAAGGAATACAGGTCCACAGCTAGAAACGTCATAGAGGCAAAAATAGCAATGGTAGCTCGCGTTTTTTTTTTTTGGAATAGTGCCAACTGCCATCGACAATTCAGTCGAAAATTAACTGATTGCCCTATACGGAACAAGCTTGATAATAAAGGATAATTAGATATGCTCGAGAGTTATAATCCAAGTGTCCATCAGATTATAATATCTTGAATTCCTTTCACTCGTCACTTTTCCTTATGCGGCAATTCAGGAAGAAAAACAGGTTGTGCCAGAGTCAAGTATTCCTAAAACAGGTAAAGACTGAAATGATTTAAGCAATTTTAGATCCATTTCGCTAATATATGTGTTCATAAGGATTAGTAATCTCATGATTAAGGAGAGGCTAATGGGTTTCTTGAAAACTGGGAACATTAGTCCAGCTTGCTCTTATATGCATCGAAAATGCCAATCTAGAAATATGTGCGTTAAGAACTATCTCTTCTCATAGCAAGTCAAAAAAAATCTGGTAAAATTGTTGTCTAACTTTCCGAAGATAATTGGGTCAACTTGACGAACCTTCATAGAACTATTTTAAATTTTCTAATCTCTCTTCAAATATGTTCATGAATACTGAACCTTTTATTCAAGTGTTCCGTTTGATATAAAGTATCTAGTTTCTCGGTAGCGAAGCATCTGTCTAAAGCACTGCATGTCAGAGTCATGGAGGAACTTACCTCGACTCTTTCGTTGAATTTTTGCGCAACCAAATGCTGTAAAGGCAGCTATAATAAATGCTCATAAGAAATTTGTCGTTTTTTCCGATAGCAAGTCAGTTGTGCTAAGTAATAAGTAAAAGAGATGCAGATAATCAATATAAGTTTGATATACACAGAATGTTACATGAATCTCAATTAGATGATTGTCACCTTGTTTGGATATTTGCGATTTTTCCTTGAATGAAAAAGCTGATTTTTATGCAAAAAAGGCTCAGCTTGACCGTACAATTTCGTTCATCAAATATACTTGCAATGAATCAATATGGGCAATTCGTAATCGCATCTTTCAACAATTAAATGATAAATTTAAAGATATTGCGCGTGCTGAATCCAATTGCCTTTTCTATAAAACGACCCTCATTCCGACATTCAACTCCTCAGAGGCTTCCTTTAATTCCTAGGGAATTAAAATACTTTGCAGACCTAATGATTCATGTTATACCCTGTGATAATTGTGGGGTAATATTCGCGAATTTGCTGAACATCTCATTTTCGATGGTATTACAAGGTTTTTTAACCTTTTCATATTATATGGTGGCCTCCTCGATCTCTTTACAGCAAAAAACGATACTCATTCCAAGGAATTAATTTGCTTTATTAGAAAAGCGAATTGATGTTTTTAATTTAAAATTTTTTTTTTTTTTTTACGTTCAATCAAAATTTTTCACTAAAACATTCTTTGCAACACTATTCTTACAGCACTATGTACAACTCAACAATCTGCATTTATACTTAACATATTAGCTTCAGCAGATCATAGCTGCAGTCTTTTTGTTATTCATACATATTTCTTGCCAGTAATTATTACTTTTTATTATCTGGACATACAGGCCACAATTCTTATTGGTTTAATGCGTTTTAACTAAACATCCAAAAAAAGATAAAGAGTTATTTATATAATTTTTGTTTATTCAAAATTTTTTATATCATACGATTTGTATTTGATATTTTGATTTACAGCATCAATTTACAAGAAACAGTTTTTGTATATCCTAAAAAGGAAGTTAAGTAAACTATTTCACAACTATTTTAAATTTCATCAATTTTTTTGAATTAAAAGCTATTAATATTTTACACTCATTATGATATTTATAGATTTATAGACAGATGTGGTAAGTACACTTTTATTTCATATTAAACGTGAGATACAAATATTTCTAATGTTATTCATTAAGTTTGTAATCAGGGCGGTAATGGTATACATCCTATCTAAGTTGTTTGGCCCAGCAAAAGAAAATATTTTCAACTAACAAACGCATTTTGACTAACACATATTAAACTTGTTTATTATCGTCCAATTTATATTGCTTAAGTAAGGCATCCAATCGATTTAGATGATCTCTTAACGTAGGTAAATAGGAGGAGAGAACGTTCATATTTTCCTCGTGAATTGGACCTTGACCAATTAATTGAGATCTGGTAGGTATCCAATTGTATATAATCTAAATAAAATGAAAGTAAAAATAAGCGAAAAAATTAACGAACACTTGCGTTAAATTTAAAATATTAGTCCCTTCGAGCGGATTTTTGATAATAGAGAACATACGATGGGCCCATAGCAATTATTTACATATTGAATTTAGAAATCAGCATATACTGAGGTTAAACACTTCAGATCAATATTTATTGTTAAACGAATGCGATGGATGAAAATAATTTAAATCTTCTATTTTATTTCAACCATGCTCTAATTTTTTTATTTGTCTTAGTTATGTTTGAGTATATAGATTTTTATACCCTACACCGCTTGTGGTACAAGCGTATATTAAGTTGCGCGGATGTACGCAACACCCAGGGGAACTTGAGACAGGTCCCCCTCTTTTCACTTTCCGTTTTGCTTTTTTTTTGCTGAACCTAAATGTACACTGATGTCTTTTAGCCAATGGTGAACGATATTGAAAATGGTTCGGATCGTATCACTTTTTCGGCCACTTTTACGGTATTCCAATATAACTACTACTATTTTGAATATTCTTTATATAAATAACTGTGTGGTGCTGTAGGGTGTTTAGCTGTGAGCGGAGGTTCGCTATAGTGTTCTTACTTGTTTTTAGATTGAAGAGAAACAAAATATTGAGACCTAACCTAGCTTTGGATGGTAACAATATAATGGTTAACTTAATCGTTGATATACATTTGGATTTGATAAACTATTGTATTTTTCCGCGGACTGAATTTGAAGTTGAATTTGTTCGTGGGTAACCACTTCTCCGACTTCCTCACCTCTGTCTTTCAAAAGGAATAAAATATTGGTTTTTGGCCCAAACTTTTTAAAGGACACGCCTAAAACGCCTTTGGGACAAAAACCTTTGTTTGAAAAATAGAAAAAAACCGCCGCTTCCCCTCCATATTATAAAGCATAGCAATTTAGTTCCTCTACATTTTTTGAATTTTTTTAGGATAACGGTGATGGATGTAAAAGATTCGGTAACGGGCGAAGATAATTTTTTTACTTGTTTATATTTGATGTTACCATAACAAACATGTTAGGACTTTTTTTAAATGTGGAAATCTGTCAGTTTTTTGTGCAGCAATAAGTCTCTACAGCTTTAAGAGCCTTCAGAACCGGTGTATAAGAGAATTTATTGAATTGCTCGTAATTTTCTTAATGCTTCCGTTATTCTTCAAATTCATTTCAAATAATGCGATTTCGTTCTCTGATGATGAAAACAAAACACAACACATTTCTTATTGCCTTTACCTTGATAGTTGTTTGCACTATAAAGCCATGGTATGGTCTCAGTGTACGCTCATATGCATCTTGCAAATGCTTTTTTATTGCTTGCGTCTGCTCTACATCGTTGTAAATATTTTCGAAAAATGTGCATATCAACTGCAGCCCTCTTTTCAGCCATAACAAAGCATCAGTAGTGAAGTTATCTTTCTTTGCATGGAAAACGATTAGGTCTTCCAAATATTTACATTTATTGCAGTCTTTTTCATAAGATTTTCGGAGTTTCTACATGTAAATTAATTCATTTTATATTCATTTTTATTGAAAAACAATCGTTTAACTTACATTTATATTGCCACTCATATCAGTGACTACCGGAGTGAACAATGTACCAAATGTACCTAAAAGCAAAAAACAAAAAAAAAATTGAAATATATGAAATGTGCTCTATTTTTAAACTTTGATGAATTATTTCGTTAAAAAATTATTTTCGAAATTTCGTTAAAGTATTTTAATCTTTCTTATAAAGATTTTATGAATTTTTGTGAATATATGAGTGATAATAACCCTGTTTACGTTTAATAGTATTTTGGGTAATCTTATTTAGAAGACATTTGATGGTCTATTAATTTACTTCTTTTCTATCTAGCACTAGCAATGAAAGAGAAATTGATTTTTGTTTGTTCGATGCTTACATCGTAGTAATTATAATACACAGTACATTATAAAATATTGCGGATCAAAGTGAGCCGCTTAACAAATTTAGCAGCTCCTGTGGTCTATCTGCCGTCTTTGGTTGCAATGTGAAGGTTTTAAAGACTTAGAAGGATATACAAAAAAAAAAAATGACGAATAAACATTGTCCGAGCATGAAAATTGCTTCAACAACAAAGAAATTGTAACTTGCAAAGCTTAGCTGGCTAATTTATATTTTGTAATAATACCTTTTCAGTGCCGTTCCTGATCGACCAACTTTCGCACTCAATGTTAATGAAAAATCCGTTAGCAACCGCCGCTTCACAACACAAACCTATTTTGAACTTACAATTAACTTTTGCTCGCTTAGCTAAGAAGAAGACAATCCAGTTAAATGTGAGAGGCGACAACCGAAATAATGATTATCAAAGGAAATGAAGGTGAAAGCTTTAAGAAGCTAGTGGTTCTATCTTTTCTGTTACGTAAATATAGTATGAAACACATTCGTTTCGGGGCCTATAATCTATTTATATGTTCTTCATTCTATTATGTAGTGTTTTGATTAGTGGATCGAGGAACTGGATGTGGGTAAAAAAAATAAAAAACGGACACAGACATCATGTTGAATGTTAAGGAAACAAAAGTCGCGCTATCTATTGCAATGAATTTGCTTCATTGGAATTTTCATTTTTCAATACTTTTAAACCGGTTTGTTACGAGCTGGAAATAATTAGATGTATTTAATATCTGATTGAAAGACCATAAATATACTAGTATAATAAGATGAAATCAATTTGAAAGAAAAATATTTCTTTTAAAACCTCTTACATATTACATAAGTTACTTTGCACTGCCTAACTAATATTTTTATATAACACCAGCACACTTCATCACACGATTCTACTTTGGGATTGATCGATAAATTTAAAATATATTTTCACACAAAGAGTTAAAATCCAATTTACATTGTCTATTATCGATTATCCATGGACAAGGTGTAGCAAAATTTTTCTGAAAGATTTATGTCAAAAAATGTTTGTTTCTTCGAGGCACTAAAATTAAGACAGAATAGATATGTGCTGAATAAGAATACCAATTGTCTGTAACACCATCTAGTGCTATCGAGGTATCTCAAGTGACATGTTACAATCCATAAAAGGCTGTCAAACGTATTAACTATACAAATGTCCACAATGAGTGATAACCTATATTTGCAAGCTAATTTCAGAACATATGCAATTGAAAACTTACTTTCCGGAATACTGAAAGCTTTCCGTCCTTATTCACGAGAGAGCAGCAATGTCCTGTTTAAAGGCAAGCTGTGTAATTTCGACTTCCAATATGCTTTCCACACTGGAATATTAAGTGGATGACAATCGGCCAAGAGGCGAAAAGGTCCCTCACGAAAGTCTGTAAAACAGTTGGGCTGTCGAGAGCTAACTTGACTTTCTTTTAAAAAATAATCAACAGCAATTCGTAAAGTGATGGTGCACTGAAGGGAAAGGAGCTGTATCTTCGGCGATTGGAGAACATCGAGTATAATAACAAGTTACATCCGACAAAGCAATAGACTCAAACTTCTAGTCGTGTGTCCTTCAACTTTGGACTTATGGTTAAGAAATTCTCTAAATGTTGTTAAGACAATTGCAAAACGGGGTGTGTGAATGAAAATCAGTTTATTCTCTGAAATGAATCAAACGTGTTAGTTAAGAGAGAACATTTTCCCCCATTAAGCTTTAAATTCGATATGGGATGGTAAAGTCCACTAAATTCTCCTGCCTATCTGATAGTTCTTTCAATTTAAAAATTTCGGTTCACTCTTCAACTAAATAGAAAGCATCACTGCTATAATTAATTAATATTATTAACATTAATCAAGCCGAACGTATGGAAAGCTTAAATAAGCGACTCCATTGATTTCCCAAGGCTCTGATGGGTCATTGAAATGAATTACAGGGGACGTATTGCGATTATGTTTTCTACTTGTAAAAACAAACATCTCAAACATCTCTTAACATTTGTCAATACAATTAATTATTATGTAAGATGGCCCTCCTTCCGTTATATATGTACATTTTAATCCCAACATGGACTGATCACAGTTCATAAGCATAGTAGTTTTATATAAGATTTTTAACCTGCACTTACGTATGACTTCCACAATTTCGTTAGCTGCCTCAAGAAATTCTTCGGTTTCGATCTTGCCCTCAATAGCTGGAGGAAAAGCTTTAAGTTTACTGAATATAACACGGGCTGGTTCCATCACACTATTCACAATATATGTGCTTACGTGTACAGATGAACACATATGTCTATGGGGATATGTATTTGCATTTATTTGTTTTTGCAAATGATAACGTGCACGCTCAAATTAAACCGAGTTTAATTCACGAAGTGTTGATTGAAGAATGACTGTGACGTGTTTATGAAAATGCTGAATATTGTAAATCAATATTTATCATATGAAGACAATGTTGTTAGGTTATTGTATATATTCCTATTGTATATACTCATTACATATATATGCACATATCTTTGAATATATATATGCACATATATATATGCACATGCACATGCACATGCACATATGCACATGTATATACATGTATATATTTATATATATATTTATTTACTTATTTATTCGTTTGGTTATAATATATATATATATATATATATATATATAAATCATCTATATACATATGTATCTATATATATATTTTATCACTTCCTGTGATATAATTTGTAACTTTGGAAGTTTATTGTTTACTTGACGATGCCGCGGGTAGTGTATGAGTTGAATTTTTTCTTAAATATTTATCAGCAAGAGTAAGAATTGCAATTATTGTTGTTATACTATACAATAATTAATTGAAGATGACGTTGTCTGGCTTCTTGCAGTGTGGTTAATTAATGCAACCAAGCGTGAAATTGTAACTTTGTCTAATAGTTTCAAAAATCATCACCTTTTCAGCCTTTTAAATATCTATACGTTTTGCGTGGCCTTTATCACTCATCACAAATATATAATGCGTAGCCCTGAACCCATTTAGGAGTCGGGGAAATGTAAACGTTAAGGTTGCCGAATCTTTAAATTCATACCATTCTTTTACCAAACTATTCGCCCTACAACGTATCTCTACGCATTTTAAAACTGGACCTGCGGACTGCACTTTTATTGTGTTCGTATGCGCATAATAATTGACTTGAAATTCAGAGTTCAGAAAATCACTTTGGATATCCTGTCTTAACCACGGATGGTGCGCTAATATAATTGCACAATTAATAGTAAAATAAAATGAATCATTCTTCTTTTGTTGGCGATAGTTATCCAAGAAACCATTAGCTGGTTTCTTAAATCTGGTAAGCCGTGTTGTAGGAAGTTCTTTCTGTTCTTCGCGCACAACAATACGTTCAGGCAAGTGTTCAGTTGCAGTGTTTAAGGTGAATACGCGATTTATAAAATCGAAGCCGGTCCCCATGATACCATTCTGGGTATGACCCAAATCGAAAATATGACCCAATTCATGGCATAAGGCACCTAGAGTCGAAGCATATACACCAGCCCACGTTTTGCGATAGTTGCTTTCGTCCGGTTCTTTGCATAAATTCACCGGTTGTTGGTTTTGAAAACATTTCAATACTTCATGAAAATATCTTGGCCAGCAATAGAAATACACGGAACCGAATAACGCTAAGCCACCACCACCTAAAGCTGCGTGACCTCTAGTATGCTTTTTAATGTTGGCATAAGAAAAATTCCCGGACTTTTCGACCTCTAAACCTTCATATTTGCTGCAATTTATGAAGGCTATAAATTTGATGCATTTATTCTTACCCCATTCCGAGTTGAGGAGTTCTTGGGCAATAAATTGCCATAATTCGTTTTCATTACTATTCCAAATTTCCTCTTTTGACAATTCGCTGTGAAATATTTTACATTGTTCTAATAATTCAAAGGTATACCTGGCTTTAACAGCCTCACGAAGCTTATCAGCGTAAACGGATTGCACCAAAAGTAAATTGAGATCAACAATCGATTGATTTACCTCAGTTTGCTCATCTACAGATTCATCTTGAGCTAACACCAAGAAGGGCAAGACTTTGAACTCACTTCGTAAGGGTTGATATTGTATACTTTTTGTCACTGAAGTCGAACAATAAGTAAATTTGAAGAAAAACGCAGAATCATTTAAGCCCAAGTCGACTAGAAACTTAAATTGCCCGTTGGTTTGCGAGATGCCTGTCGTTAATATCTTATCATTTGCAATATTTAACACTTGCAAATTAATAACACTATTTATAAGGCATTCGTATGATTCGACATAGCCTTTTATTAAAAGAATTTGATGATTTACTATTTCGTTTTCTTTTAAACTTAAGATGTTTATCTGATGCCGGCAAAAAAACGAAGCCATTTCTCTCTAATCCCGTTTCTTATTAGAGATGGAAAAAATTGATTAGAGAAGATGACCTAATAGTCTTTTGAAAGCAGCGGTACCAGTTAGATAAAAAATAAAAACGGCAGTGTTCAACGATGCATTTTAGAGCTAAATAGAATCTTTACAATGTTATATAAATGTAAACTCATCAAACTATGCTCAACAAACAACTAAAGCCATCCTATAAGAAGAACACAATAAAAAAGAACGGTAATCTCGTGGTAATTAAGAAACATAAGAAAAATTACTAAGTAATTTCAGATTTTCTCTGCCGATCTGGTAGCAGTGGCGGAGTTTTAATTTATTAAATGCATCCAGAATTTTCATTAAAAGCTAGGAAAAAAATATTTTTCCTCTTCTGTGAGTCAGCAAATCAAAAATAGACGATTTACTGAATTGAGTAAAAGAGGTTCAATGTGACTCGTTTGTGTATTTGATCCTTAAAAAAGTTAGCGTTTAGCTTATATATACATACATTGTATATATATATATATATATATAAACATATACATATTTTACGCGCTGTAGTCCACCACGTGACTATAATCATTTTGCGGGAAGGGAGCAAATCTGAAAAAGTTTAACATTGTATATTTTTAAAACTCAAAAAATTAGTTCAAAACCAGACATAACAAACTGTAGCAAACATTGTTTTAAATTTTAATGAATGTATTTGTCAGACTTATGTTAATATTTGACATGAGAACCAAAAAAAATTGATAATAAGTTCTGAATTGTTATAAGATTTCTTTACATTAAAATAATAAGCCAAATGTGTTCAAGCGAATAGAGCTGCGTTGTTTCATTTAGTTCTTCTTGTTTTATTTCTTACGTTTGCTGTTAACTTCACGATTCTGTGTACATAAATATAATGAATTCGATTATCTGACACGTCAATTAAAGTGTTTCATTTCTTGATGAGTGTGTGCAACTTTTAAAGGCTTTCACAGAAATAATCAAAAAAATTTTGTTAATAAAGTGAATAATTAGACACATACAATTTCGAAAAGTGAATTGAGAGTAATTTAAAAATGTCTCAGTCAACAGTGCCCTGTTATACGATTATCAATTCGACCGACTTGGAGGTGCCCAATGAAATGCAGTTGAAACAAGATCTTGAAAAGGGGGATACTAATGTTAAGATAGAAACACTGAAGAAAGTTATACAATTGCTTTTGAATGGTGAACGTTTGTCCGGTCTAATAATGACTATTATACGTTTTGTATTGCCGGTGCAAAATCATGCCATAAAAAAGTTATTGCTTGTTTTTTGGGAGATTGTACCGAAAACCTCGCCGGACGGTAAGCTTTTACAGGAAATGATACTAGTTTGCGACGCTTACAGGAAGGTGAGACACATAGTTATTTGTGGTGTGGTAATACATCCCATCTATGTATGCGTATATTTTATATAGGATTTGCAACACCCCAACGAGTTTTTACGTGGCTCCACTTTACGGTTCCTTTGTAAACTTAAAGAGCCAGAGTTGTTGGAGCCTTTAATGCCATCTATACGTGCTTGTCTTGAACATCGGCATTCTTACGTGCGTCGTAATGCCGTTCTGGCTATATTCACAATATACAAAAACTTTGATTGGTTGGTGCCAGATGGTCCTGAATTGATAGCCAACTTTCTAGATACACAACAAGATATGTCCTGCAAACGTAATGCCTTCCTTATGTTGCTGCATGCCGACCAAGAGCGCGCATTGAACTACTTGGCGTCATGTATTGATCAGGTTAATAATTTTGGTGATATACTTCAGTTGGTTATTGTGGAGCTTATATACAAAGTATGTCATGCCAATCCTGCCGAACGTTCTCGCTTCATACGTTGTATTTACAATCTTTTGAATTCTTCATCCAACGCTGTACGTTATGAGGCAGCTGGCACCTTAATAACACTCTCTTCCGCTCCTACAGCCATAAAAGCGGCGGCTGGTTGTTACATTGAATTAATAGTTACAGAAAGCGATAACAATGTTAAACTAATTGTCTTAGATCGTTTGATAGCAATGAAGGAAAACGAAAATATCGAAAAGGTTATGCAAGATTTAGTTATGGATATACTGCGTGTGTTGGCTGCTCCTGATATTGAGGTTCGTCGAAAAACTTTGAATCTAGCTATGGATTTAGTTTCATCGCGGAATATTAGTGAAATGGTGTTGGTGTTGAAAAAAGAAGTATCGAAAACCCATAATGTGGCACACGAGGATACTGGCAAATATCGTCAACTATTAGTAAGAACATTACATTCGTGCTCTATTAAATTTCCTGATGTAGCAGGTAATGTTATCCCAGTATTGGTGGAGTTCTTGTCCGACACCAACGAATTGGCGGCAGCTGATGTGTTAATTTTTATACGTGAAGCTATACAGAAATTTCCATCGTTGCGCAATTTAATTATTGGACACTTGATAGAGGCTTTTTCACAAATTAAATCATCTAAAATACATCGGGCTGCTGTTTGGATCTTAGGAGAGTACGTGAACGACAAAAACCAAGTATTAGAAGTTATCGAGGTTATCATCCAAACATTAGGCGAAGTCCCTATGGTGGAAGCGGAACAACGACGTTTAGCCGGTGACCAAACAGAAGAAGAAATGATGAATCACCGCAACAACAATAGTCAACCAAGCCAGACGAACACCAACAACAGTAAAGTCACTTCAGATGGCACTTACGCTACTCAAAGCGCTTTCAGCTTAGCTCCGTAAGTTTAATGTGATTAAAGTGTAAAAGAGATTGAGGAAAATTTTAAAAACTTAAATAGGATTTCTAAAAAGGAAAAGCGCCCACCTTTGCGCGAATATCTGATGGCAGGGGATTTCTTTATTGGTGCTGCACTCTCGGCTACTTTAACCAAACTGGCTTTACGCTATGCTGATTTGGAAGACGACGCAGTACGCATTAAATTATGGTTTTGAAATGCATAGTTAAAAAACTTCCATTATTACAGAAAGCCCAAAATCGTCTTACCACTCGCGTGATGCTTATAATGAGCTCGATTTTACATTTGGGTAGATCTGGTTTCACGAACAAACCAATCACCAACGATGATACTGACCGCATTTTTATTTGCTTACGTACACTTAGCGAACGCACCAAGGATGTCGTGCAAGTATTTGAGCGCTATTGCCGTGAAGCGTTGGGGAAAATGTTAGATGCCCAATACGAAGAGGACCAGCGGGTGTTTAGGGAGAAACAAAAAGCCACTGCTAAAGTACAGCCAGATGATCCAGTTGTCTTCGCACAGTTATCAAATGGACGTGAAAATCAATTGGGTGAAAACGTATTTGAGTCGAGTTTGAATCAAGCTTTGGCCGGCACAAAATCAAATAATTTAAGTGACGTTTCTTCACCCAACAATAAATTAAATAAAGTTACGCAGTTGACGGGATTCTCGGATCCAGTATATGCTGAAGCTTACGTCAATGTCAACCAATACGATATTGTTTTAGATGTCTTGATTGTTAACCAGACAAGTAAGACTATCTATTGACTTTAACTATTGTCTCTATCATAATTTACTTACAGATGATACTTTGCAAAATTGTACTTTGGAATTAGCTACTTTGGGGGATTTGAAATTGGTGGAAAGACCTCAGTCCGTTGTTTTAGCTCCTCACGACTTTTGCAATATTAAGGCTAATGTTAAAGTATCTTCAACTGAAAATGGTATTATATTTGGTAACATCGGTAAGTTTGTCAAAGGAGAAAAAGCTTATTTTTTCTTGGTATCGAAAAATAAGAATATATTCATTTTATTTAAATATTTGCACTCCGAGGAAGGAACATTTAAGAACTGTGTAAACTACATATATTTTAGAGAAGTATTCTATTCTGAATCGTCCCAAACCTGTATTCTGTGCGTGATGCTACAGACATGTAAAATTTGCAGTTTTCCTTAAGATAAATCTGATGCCTATAAAAAATACGCGCACAATAACATATTTTATAACAATTATTTGTTTAACAAAGTAACATTATTCATTCCAAGATTCAAATATGAATGAAATATTTTCTAAAACAATACATTTGTGTATTCTGTCGTGCAGCATTTTACAGTATCACTTATACCAGCACATTTAGTTTCTATTAAGAGTAGATTTATTTCGATCTATTCAGGAGAATTGGTATTTCTGATCTCAATTTTCTGAAAGTAAGTTACAATGATCTCTGGAATATGTTAGAAGATTGATCTGACTGCTTAACCACCGTGACTACCTCCCTGAAAAGCATAAACCTGCAATGTCGACTTCTCAGCCCAAACTCCATTGTTTTGCTAACATGGACATGTCATGCATTGCCGTTAAGGTTAAGGAAAATGTTGAGAGGACCTTACCAAAGTGCTGGTTTTGAAACATTGAAAAATACAGTGTGATGCAAGGTAAAATTAGCAAGATTATGGGGTAAAGCGATCCAGCTGAAAAAATGGTTTTAAATATCCATAACATAATTAAAGTTGCAAACAACTACTACTAACAAAATTTCGCCACTTTAATGACGTGCTAACTGGATCGCGAATTTTAAATGCATAGTCTATCTTGGATATTGATTAGTTGCGTAGTACACTACAAGCTCTAAATGATAAAATGATGTTATTGCAAGCATACAAGCCTCTTTAGGTCTATGCTTCTTTAAAAGACTTAAATCTCTTTTTTGTTTTTAAGAGCATATGGTCCCACGGTCCGTCGCCGGTCGTCATACATATGCTAAAAACTAATTTATTCAATACGTAAATAAATAAATACTATCCCTCATTGCCATTTAGTTTATGATACTTCCATTAATACTAATGTGGTTGTGCTAAATACAACCCATATCGACATTATGGACTATATAATACCGGCTTCTTGTACTGATACTGAATTTCGGCAAATGTGGCAAGATTTCGAATGGGAGAATAAGGTAAAGGATTACTTATGAAACTTTCAGTACACACAATTTTTAAGATATTACGTTGAGCAGGTTACTGTTAATACCACCTTCACCGATTTGCATGAATATTTAAAACACTTGCTTAAAAGCACCAACATGAAATGTTTAACGCCCGAAAAAGCTTTATCGGGTCAATGCGGTTTTATGGCTGCTAACATGTATGCAAAGTAAGTTTGCTTTATATTACGTCTTCAGTTTCCATTATAATAAACATTTATGCCTAAAACAGGTCCATTTTTGGTGAAAATGCTTTAGCCAATTTAAGCATTGAAAAGCCCATTGATGATCCTGATTCTAAGGTAACTGGACATATTAGGATACGCGCTAAGAGTCAGGTTAGTTTTACTTTTTGTTTATTAATATTAACTTATTTAAGAATATTTAAAAATCTGTCGGAGGATGGATGCGACGATCGGTGTGAAACTATAGCAACAGCCGCCTTTAAAAAAAAGACCTTCTTGCCGACGTTATATTTTTAAAGTAGGACCCCAGGAATGCACGGGTTCAAGTCATTGAGCCATGTTCTCTGTCTTTTTTTGCGTTGCTACTTTAAAAAGGCGATACAGGCATCTAGGGAGATCTTCTTATAAGGAGCTTGTGAACGTCTTTTATGTCGAGTAGATTTGCAAAGAAAAATTTCATCATATACCTTCATCCAGATATTAAGCGTTTCGAAGAACCAAAAATTTTTTTTCAACACAGACATGTTTTTAGGTTAAAGGATCGCAACACTGTAACAGCTCGGAAAGAAAAACATATGTTTTACTGTATAATTGAGATAGAAGGAAAGTTAATAGAATGTTCATCCTTTCAGAGCGGTTGTTAAGAATATATTCTTGTATTAAAAAAAATATTACGAAAACTTTGTGTAAATGCGAACATTGCCATTTAATCTAAGGGGCGGCCATAAGCGGTGTAAGTGGCGCAAATTGGGATCTAAAAATAAATAAAAAAAAAAGTACGAAAATAAATTCGGCCGGAACCGAATTTATTATATTCATCATCATTTAGCCCCAAAAAAAGGCAAAACAGTTAAAAAAATAAGGTTGATGTCTCCTATTTTCAAAATAAGAGTTTTCATTGTAGAGGCATGTGGCGGCGAAAAGTTTGAAAAGTTTAGGTCAATTCCAAGTTTGTTTGCAAGTTTGTAGGCGATATCTTCATTTTCGCTAAAGGGAGAATGTTTACCACTACTACTATAAAGTTGCGCAAACAGACAGATGGACAGGCGGACATGTTCAAAAAAGTTTATACTTTATGGAGTTTTTGAAGCTGGTTTCTGCGCGTTATGAAAGTATTGAAAAAAGAATTCAATTTTCATAAACTACAATATTGTGTAGGCATTGTAAATTTTTTTCATTTTTGTGCACAAATGCTGCAGCGTCGCTCATAGAATATGCGTTCAAGTTTTTATATATTTATTTGCTATAGAAAAAAAACAATTTTCCATTCTCTTCGACAGAGGTATCCTCAGTTTACGTGGTGATGTGGTTGTGTCCTTCAACCGATTTGGCCCATTTTCAATACCAACCTGTGCGCATGAACTTCCACTATTTCTGCCAAATTCGATTTTGCTAGCTTAATTTTCGCGGCCAGAACAATGTTTACAACAGACATTACATATACGGACAGAGAGTTAGACGGACATATTTAAATTGATTTAGGATTTGATGCTGATTGAGAATGTATGTACTTTGTGGGGTCTCTGGTGCTTATTTCTGGGTGTTGTAAACGTTTTGAAGAAGTGAATATACCCCCCTCATCCTTCGATGATGGATGTAAAAATCATTTAATTTATATGCCTCCAGCTAGCGAAGTCTACATATATGAAAATATTAATTTTTGTAAATCTTTTCTTCAGAATGTCCTTTATATTGTAAAAAATTCGAATGAAAAGAAGAAAAATTGTCGCAGCTATGCTACTTGCCGTATAGATTAAAAATATATTCATTAGAATGTTGTTTATTTTTGCAATGTGCAATTCCAGGACCATAAATATGCCCTGATATGTTTGCATATGCTTTCTTATTCGCTTCCGTCAAAGATTTTATTTAAGGAGAGCGACGGAATCCCACATTTTACATTTTACTTATCGCGAAATTATGGAGATTAACTCCAAAAACCCTATTCTAAACTTCTAATTTCTTAGCAGAAGCATTCAAGGCTTTGGAACCGCTCTCAGCCTCATATCTGCTCAGCGATCGACTCGAATGAAGGCAGATAAACGGGTTTTTTTTGGAAACTGTTTTAAATGAACATAGTCACTTTCTACAGATAATTGCTGGTTTTTTAGAGGAGTTTTAAATGAATAGATTCTTCTAAAACTCCCCAGCAGAAATTCATTTGACCCAAAAACCACTTTGAGTTCTTCAGCAATATGATATTACCTGTTACCCATGTTTTGTTTTTTGATTGCCATTATTATAGACAAAAGCAGGGGATGAAAAACAAAAAAAAAGTGGTATTTGTTCGCACTGCCAAACATTACAGCATCACTGCCTCCCATCAGGCGCATTTCTCGACGGAGAGTGCTTATTAGACTGTTCATATGGGTGATAAGACACCATCACCTATCCTTTTTTTCTAAGTGAGTCCTGCCATTGTCAGGCTGCTACCATAACGTAAATTAATTTATATGAACTTGTATTTCCTCATGTTATAATGGTTGTCATAAGTTATAATTAATTATTTTAAATTCTTATTTATTGTCAGCGAAGTTTATTTTTACAAATCATTCACAATTTTAAATACATGCGTAGGATGGACTTTATTATAGTGGAAAGTGATTTTATATATATATATATATATATATACATATATATATGTTAGAGAAATTGTTCTGTTGAGGTTACTTATCATTTTTTATCTATTCTCTTCACGAAAAAAAAATTAAATGTACTTTTTTAATTTTCGTCGTTTCTATTTGCAGGGTATGGCCTTAAGTTTGGGCGATAAAATGAGTTCATCACAAAAACTAGCTGTACAAGCCTCTTAAGCACACTTCTTTTTGCTCATTCCTAACATCAATAATATTATTATTTACTATTATTTTTTGCAAAGCTTTAGCGTTTAAGTATTTTACACAATTTGAACACAGACGAAAAAGAAAATGGAAAACCTGAAATCATATATGTTGTTAATCTTATTACGTATGTATGGTCGATATGTATAATTGAATAAAATAAAGCAACAATTACTACAAATCCTCTCGCACTTGTCTTTACAACAAAATTTTTACAACAACGAGCTTTTTACGCGGCATTTCAGATGTGGTTCTATCTAACGTCTTGGGGCTCCAAACGTCTCAAAAGATTGGAGTGATAGAAAAAAATCATGGGCGTCGAAAATAATTAATTTATGCATAATTTTAAGGTCAATAATGCGGTGAATTTCGGTGTGTTGCTACTATTATGAAGAAAGAAAAGAAATTGAAAGAAATTTTCCAATATCATATATAAGGTGATTAATGGCAGTATGGTCCCGCAAAAGCAACCAATGAACACTAATCTTCTCATCTATCCTGTATCAGGCTTTTCTACTCTTTGTAATCGACTCCATATGCCCATTATGAAGTGTATGATGGGAGCCGATAGAAAATATTTGCTCTCGAAGCACGACTGTTTTGGCAGAAGCAGAAAGTGAAGCGGATTTTAACTATTGAGCAGGTGCGCCCGTAATCTGAATTTAATGTCGCAGCAGTTAGCGGAAAGAACGTAAAATTATATTCTATGTCCAGAACTTTTATGCCGCTCATCACTCTCATGAAAACTGCTGGACTAACTACTACAAAATTAATGAAAATATCAATGTTCTTGAAGTCACTTAAAAACTGCATATTTTACTCTGCCGTTGGCTAAAGAAATAGAAAAGCAGAGAAAGGTTTAACAACAAGTGTCAATTTTGCCATGCATTTATTTAATGCAATTTAAACTTATGAGATTTTTAGTTTCATAGTGTTTCTTTAACCTTTTATGCTATATTAATGATGAAATGTCTCAAAACGTGTTCGGTCAAATTCTTAATAAACATATTAATTGGTCGGATTATAAGCGAACTTCATCTTGTCAAACGTTAGAAAGTTCACTTAGCTTATTCCTTAAACTAGTCTGCCGCTAAAAATATTTTCTTTTTGCTTAAGATAAGTTGAATTCATTATTACAAATTATTCTATATATTCAATAATGAATGCTTATGATCCCGCCGATGCGGCTTATTTTTAAGTGTTTGTAGTGTAGGTTTAGTATATAGTTTTAAAAGAAGAGTATTAAAAAGGCATTAGCTTCGCGAGGCTGCTGTGTGATTTACTTTACTATTTTTATTTTATTTTTTTTTGGTCTTTGAAATTAATTAAACTAAACCAATGAGGATGGCTTATACGTCTACTCAAAAACATTCCGCAAAAATGTTGTCGTTAATTTCATATTGTTGCGTATTCTCGGTTTGTGATAACAAACAATGTATATAGGAATAATAGTTTCCGCCCCCTTTTTTTTTAGAGTAGAGACATAGTTTCCGTTAAATTACACCGCGGGACCTGTAAGCAAATAAATCGTTATTAAAAGCTTTAGATGAAACTTGCAATGGAAAATTTAAAAAATTTCCAAGTATATGTGAAATTTTTTTTTTTTCGGAAAAATATACTGAACACTCTGTAAATGTTTACTTATAAAATTTTTAACAATTTTATAGAGAAAATTTAAAATAGTATGTAAAAATTGATAATTTTATTATACTGAGCTGCTCTTGGTAAGAAAGTGTAGAATATAAAGTTGAAAACAGGCTCATTCAGTTTTGATTGATCTTGCTTGGAAAGGAGCAAATTTCATCAGAAACGCTAAATTTTAGAAAAAGGGAATATTTTAGTATAGTTTTGGCAAAAAATGTACTATATATTGGGACAATTCAGAAATGCAGAATGAAAATGGTCTCATTTGGCCTATTGATACATACGCAACATCGTCAAGAAATTCATTTAGTTCGTGTATCATTCTTGCTTTTGTAGCTAATGTCTTGCGGCTTGATATACCCACCATCGATTAATGAGATTCCTTGCCCTTGTCCTTTCGTTTATGACATAATGCCTTACATATAACATAACATTATGACATAATGCCTTATACATAAACTCACTAAAATACAAAAAGAAAATGTTTCTTTCTATTAAAAAAACAAGGAATTTAAATATAATCTCAGAACTGCTGCGTCTCAATCTAGGGGTGCAACTGGCATAAGAAGCACAACGCCATTGGAGTATTATTATTAATCTCTCCGATTAGGATTGTTCTCAAATTAATATTGAATGATCGTTGTGAATTTCTTAGCTGACGTTGATACACAGAAATCGCTTACACATAATTGCGATAAATATATCTGCAGAATAATTAAATTTAGCCAAAACAGATTAACCAACATGTAGCGTTTTCAAGGATTTCAATAAGTAGAGACGGATGTGCTGGGACCGGTAAGCAAAATTGAAATTCAACACACTTGAGTTATCTAAAAATGTATTCTTTCTGACAAAAACGCTTCTGGCAAGCGTATCAATGGATTCACCTCAAAGTTTATGCAGCAAGGATAACAATGTCATTCTATAAATTAAGAGTGAGTGTTGAGGCTTTAATATAGCCGATAAAAACACGTCGGTTATACATATTATTTAGGTTTTTTTATAGAGTTCGAATAATTCATAATTAGATTTACATTCCTGGAATTTAACATAAATTTTTTGAAATGCATTGAAATTGCTTTCATTTAACTAGCCTGTGAGTCGATTAATTGATTTATTAATCTAATTTTTTCTTTATTAACCTAAGAGTAAACCGAAGGCTTAGAATAGGCTTACATTTTCCAAGTATTAGGCGTTTCTTTGATGTGCTATATTTTAATAAAAATTTTCAAAATCTTTTAAATTTAGGAATGAAGATATCCTTCTACTTTTAGGGTATAAGAATGCGTGTTGATAATCATATTCATATTCACCATATTATGGTGTACCACTTTGAGAAAGGACGGAAAACGGCACAGTAATTTCGCTATTTTAACAAACTTTTCGGCGAGGGCGTAGTTAACGAAGGCTATGAAGGGAATGGTTTCCCCGTTTCAAATGTGGCATTGACAACCAGGCACTTTTGGCAGTCGTGGAAGGGAACAAACGCTTGACAACTACTACTTGACAATGCTGGCCGACAATTTCAATGTAGACCACTCATATTGAAGTAGATGGGGACTACGCTCCGTATTAGTCATTTAAAAGTGTTACTGTTGAAGTTTTTTGTTTCCTTGTGTGTTAAAGACGCCTAATAATGTTATTTAGAAACGCTTGATAATTATGCACCAACCTCCTATTCACAATAAAATAAAATTATTTTAACAGAGTTAGCAAAAGAATTGCGGACAAGACCATAGAAACACATAGACCAGTAAAATCATTTCACTTTGTAGGTCGTTAAGTAGCAGATGTTTTTTATTTGTTTTTGATATAAACCATTTTTTTTTATTGATGTATAAAAGAAAAATGGGTCAAGCCCAAAAATGATAAGACTTTTTATCCAGTAACGTTATGAGCTTTTAAAATACAATCTTTTAAAGAGCTTCAAGTTGATAACCACAATAAAGATGATAACAGGGAAAAAACTTGATGCTGATCACGTGATGATTATAATTGATTTGTTGATGATACAATGATGCTAATCTCTCTTGATAGGTTATTATACAAATTGCAATAGTTCATTGAGTACTGTCCCCTCTGGGGTGTAGCCCAGAAGACTGATATCGACACATGGCTGCGTCGGAATTACATTTTTATGTAATTATAAAAACTTTTCAAAATACTCTTATCAGACAAGACAAAAAATGTAATTATTTTTATTTTTTTTTATTTTACCCATTTATACATGAAATTCAAGTAAAGAAAATTACAGTCGAATGCAGTGCATCTTAATAGAAAATCTTATACTTATTGTTTTAAAACTAGTATACAATAAAATGAAGAATAATAATAAAAAAGTAAGTTTAAAAATAAATTATTAAGTTAAAAATAATAGTTCATGTACAAAAAAATAAAAAGAGAAAAAAAAGAAAAAAAAAAAAAAACAAGTACAAAGCTAGCACAGAAGCACAGCCACAACAAGAACAGACCCACGTTGCAGGTGAACCGCTACACCATTGCAAAGATGTATAAGCTTGGCAACCGACACGTTTACAATACAATATTATTTTAGATAAAAAATGAGATATTAAGAATGAAATGTTAAGCAAGGTTCCTTTAATAGACTTTAAAGAGTCTGATAATGAGAATAAGTGATAGATAGGTTTCTGCAAACAACTCTGAGCGGGTTAAACAGTTCGTAATTATATTTGCATTGAGTAAGCTTAATCAAGATAAAGTGCCTAGAGAAGCTGTTATGGACATTAAAGCTCACCAAATAATGCGGGCGAGTCAATAGTACCATTTCTTACTTTGATTAAGAAGGAAACCCCAAGAACAAATCGACGTTTCTCAAGTGACGGTAAGGATAACACAAGTAACCTATTTTCATAGGGAGGAAGAGAACTAATCGGATCCCAACCCAAATTTCTAAGGGCAAACAGCAAGAATTGCTTTTGAACAGATTCTATTGAATCTACATAGCACCTATATGAAGGAGACCACACAATAGAGGCATACTCGAGTATGGGTCTAACCAAACACATGTACAGCCTCTTCGTAATGTAGGGATCATGAAGCTCTTTGGACCACTGTTTTATAAAACCAAGCGCGGACCTAGCTTTGCGTATCGAGAGCTCAATATGCAAGTTGAAACGTAACCTATGGTCAAATAGAACGCCTAAATCTGTGATCGAATCGACGTCCTCCAACTTATGCGAATCTATGAAATACTGAGTAATGACTGACTTTCTTCTTAAGAAAGAAAGCTTCTTACATTTACTCAGATTTAGTTTCAGTAGATTCAAAGAGCACCATGCAATCAAATTATTCAAGTTACTTTGAAGCTGATGTGATTTCGATTCTACAGAGAAGAAAGAAAACAGTTTCACATCATCAGCATACATTAAGATCTGACTGGGATTAATCACCGATGGGAGATTATTAATGTATAAACTAAATAAAATGGGACCTAAGTGGTT